ACGTTGTTTGCACAAAACCGCAACAACTTCATGCCGTTATTGTTGAGGTCGCTAGGGCCGATTTTCCCAGTCACACCGTTCCAGTTTTCCGAGTCTATTCCGACGTGCGCATTAAAATCGCCCATCAGTACGAGGGACTCTGTATTCGGCACTTCGGACAGAGCACACTGCACTTCTTCAGTGAAGGAATCATATTCACCCTTTAAATTGGTAGCATGGATCTGTAACAAGCTCATCGCTTTAGCCTCTTGTAGCTTCAGTCAGAGGATTGCCACTCTTCCCCTGACAGGTTTCCATTAAATGATTCTATCAGCCAGGCTGGGTTCTACCAGAACAACAACACCGGCCTGGGCGCATGTAACGATGTTGGTACCTGAGTGGAATAGCTTACGCTCGCAAAAGCGTTGCATTCCAGAGCCTCAACGCTTCGTTGGCGAGAGTCCAATTATTTTGAGTTGATACCTTACGATCTGATCAGCTAGCCCCTGATTTTTCCCTCTGAGTGAGGATATGTTGCGATTTGCGACTGTAAGCTCCCACCGGCGGTATCGGTACCATTGAAGCTTTTTGACGTGCTGTGATAGCATCGCCCTGACTGCCTTTTCTGTTCTGATTTGGTAGGAGCTCCATTGCTGATTAAATTCTTCTTCGTTGTTTCAGCGATCCTTAGTAGCCATTTTCGTGCTGCTACAACCTCGGCTGATAGAAAGCGGTGAGCCGTTTCTGACCGCCTGCCTTTCGTATTCTGACTCAGTCCACCAACGGCGTGCGCGGCTGTTGGTATCCCCTGTGACGACCGAAATGGTATAATTTTCGATGACCTCTGTTCAATGAAGGGCCGGTGGCTCAGTTTTATGGAGACGTCGCCACGGTCTCCAGCCCTCCTGCTTCCGTATCCGAGCATATGACCGGCAATAAATGTACTGGATAGATCATAACTAAGTCCTTGGGCTAAAGCTACTGTCCACCCCTCCCCGGTATCGCTTGTTGACGTATCATACAATGGGCCATGTTGATTTTCGTTTTTTCATCAGAATAATATCAAAACACGGTCGTGTCCGTCAGGAAACGCCAGTACTTCCTATGAAATTCGACTTCTGCCTATTTGCTGCGTCATTGCTAAACTGCCGTTTATGATATTCTGGTTATAGATTTGAAATGAAATTATTCAGTTACTTTTTTTAAATTATGTATTGAGGATTCTCTTTGCGGATCGGCCGTACTGGTGGATACACCTGACCGATCATTATGAATCGTCGAAGACGCCGCATCTAGAACAGTTCCCATTGACGTGCGAGACCGGACCAGGTAGGTTACGTTTTCGTACATGACTTTTCGTTATATTAACAGTTTTTCTTTATTAACTTCTGCGTGTAAGCAGGTCTGTTTTCCGAGAATAAAAACCTTGCCACATGTTAAACAGCCTTATGCATGATATGAAAATAAAGCCGAAATAAAAGTTTATTCAGATCCTATAGTCGAAGTAGAAAATTACGTATTTGGGCCAGGAAGTTCAACATACGATGTGATGGGGAAGTTAAAAATTTGGCACATAAACAAAACATACTGTCACGCATTTAAATATATTTATGAAATTTACCTCTGAAAGATTATAGCCGCAACGCACCATGAATCTATCTCTTCGACGCAAAATTCGTTGCGGAGATACCGTAAAACAACGAAACGTTGTGGCTGACAAAAGTACAGAAACATTAGCTGCTTGTTGTTGAAAAGCCACGGAAGAACGATGTTGGGAATTTTGCTCTGAGGCAGTGTCCAGTTGAAAACATCAAATAATTAATTTAACTGAAAGATATCACCGCAGAAAGCAGGAAAAGCATAATACAGTAGAGGGATGGCGGGACTGTCGTTCTGTTTACCGAT